CTTAATACTGGGGTTCCAAAATATCTATAAAATATTATTATATTTATCTCAAGAGGATATTTAAGTTATTCGTTAGAATTATAGTGCTGTTAAATCTTAATTACAGCCCCCCAAAATTACTGTGGGTTTTTACTCAAAATAAAAATATAATTCTACAGTATGAAAAAAAAAAAAAAAACCCAGCCCTGGCTAAACTGCAACAAAAAAATAGCCAGGCATTGTAGCAGGCACCTGTAGTCCCAGCTACTTGGGAGGCTGAGGCAAGAGAATCATCGCTGAGGCGATGGAGGTTGCTGTGAGCTGTGATGCCACAGCGCTCTACCGAGGGTGACAAAGTGAGACTCTGTCTCTAAAAAAAAAAAAAAAAAAAAAAACCCTGAAGCATTGTTATTTATTCTTTATAATTAAATGAGTTGCAGTATTTCAAACCACAAACTTACCTGGACTCTCTTTGCAAGATTCTCATACAGCATCCAGTATATTATGTGAACTGGAAAACTGAGGAATGATTCGAGGGATTCTGACCACTTCCCTCACCTAATTTACTCTGAATTATTTCTTAAACCTTTTCGTGTTTCAAGCAATACCAAAGTGTTAGAAGAAAAGCATGTTACAAATGTGATTACCCACCAAGTTAGAATACCTCTGTGTCTATATTACTTCATGTGTCAAGGCTATTTCCTCTTTTAGGAAATCTGAATTCATCTATTTGTCTCCTCACTGATTCTTTCTTCTTTGTAATTAGTTATGACCTGTAGTGTAAAGTAAGTTCCTATGTGACTGTACTTGTTTCCTTTTAATCTGCTTTCCTTCCTTAACTGAACTCTCATTTACTCCACCACACAAACTCAGAGCACCTAGTGGGTTCCTGTAATGTGTTTTAGACTAGTGAGTTTAAATATCTAGGTTAAGACCTATTAAGAACAAACAAAAAAGTCACTACACTCGCACACTTTTGATTCTAATTTGTTCAAGTTTCAGAGCATTTGCAAGGACAGAAGATGGCGCCAGAAGGCAGTAGAATATTTAGTTTGGCTTTTAAGAGTTTTAGCCAATCCCAGAGTGAGAAAAGAGCTTGGGAGGGAGAAGTCAGAACTGCAACAAAAGTGCCTCAGTGTGAGTGGAAACAAAGGAGAGGGAGGAAGGATAGTATCACTTTTTTTTTTTTTTTGAAACTTACATATAAAGGTCCATTTGACATCTACTCCAAATCAGCATGGCTAGAAAGCAACAACAGAAATAACCACAGCAAAACCAAAGAACAAAATAAATTCAAATCCCAGGAGAACAGCGCTCGCCACCCATCTCCCTCTCTCCTAAAAACAAGGACCTTTGTGTTTGATCCTGGAGAGCCCAGGATCAAGGAAGTGTTGATCTGAGGCTAAGCTATCTTTGTGAAACAATATTCAATTGTGTAGGCAAAATCCTAAAGCTCACCAGCAGGGACATACTTCCCAGAAGGAATCACACAAGAAACATTTTTGTAAGTAAACTTTTTAAATTCATAGATGAGCCAGGAGGTGGCGCGTATCAGACACACTGCCTGCCTTGGAAGTCTGAATCTCAGCCCAGAGCTCCACAGAACGCTGTCCTGCTAGAGGTCACTTTGTTCAGACCTCTTCTTTCCTCCTAGACGACTTCTTTCATATCAAGACATCTGTCCTCTCTCTCTTTTTTTCTGTTCCTTTGTATTAACTACCCTGATTCCCCAGAAGGCTAATTTATACCTTAAGCCTTTTATTCTTCTTAGGTGGGGTGGATGGAGCTTTAGAGGAAACTAAAAACACAAAACTTTTTTGTAGGAGAAAAATAATTCAGAGGGTGATAAGAGAATAAAAAAGGTACTGACATCTGCAAAATAGCTTTGCTTTGCAGATCAATCACAGGGCACAGAAAGGCATGGTGAGCGCCTGTCTCTGCAGGAGCTGATGATCCAGCACATGCATTATTCTGTTCATTTGGCTTTTATCCTGTTCCCTTATTTAGCTGCTGTTCCCTTTGTTTGGCTATTTATTGCTACTCAGCGGGAGCAAGGAGGGCAGAGGAGCTCAAATGGGTGCATCCTCCTGGCTGGTAACTCTGATGAAGGGCAAGGAGAAGGAGGTTTCAATATCTGCCTTGAAATTATCTGTGGGCTTCACATTCTCTAATGAGGGATTTAGGATGTACATTCCAATCAGGATTTCTAGTCCCGTGGGGAAACACACATCAGCCCACATTCCTGAGACTCGCAGCCTCCACACTCCATTGGCCCAGCTCCTTGGTGGCAGGTTTCACTCAGTTCCACTTGTCCTACATCGACCCTTTGTTGGGCAGAAGTTAAGACCCTGGGCCCCTTGTCCATCTGGATCACATGGTCTCTCTCTGGTCTCTCCCCAGTCTGCCTTTTTCTGGTGGTGGTAGCAATTGTTACTAAAGCCTCCCCATCTCCCTTTCTGCCCCCGGCCTCTCTGCCAGAGGTCAGTGTCCTCTTCAGTGACAAAAGCCGCCCTAGATCTGGGCTCCCTGGGGAGGGAGGTAGCTGGGTCTGGCAGTTAGAGCCGCTGTCTCTCAGTGGTGCTGCTGCAGCCCCTCCCCCGCTGGGCACACAAATGGGCTTTATCCAGCAAACAAAACTGCCCCCCCCCCCAGGCTACATAGGCACGTGGACCCAGGCCTCACCGTGGGAAGGGGTTGGTGACTGGCACAGGAGAAGAGATCACTCCAGACAGCTCCTTGCCTCACTTCTCTTCTCATTATCCACAAGGGATGTTTTAGTCCTTGACTTCCCACCCCTCACCTGTACAGAGTCCGGGGGTACCTTAGGGGAGAGGCTGCAGCAGCACCACTCCTAAGTCTGGACTCCTCCTGTTCCAGGGCAGCTCAGGTTCTGCAGCGGATTGGGAACAGGTCCCCCCACCATCTGCCCTACATCATCCAGGGAGCTGCTCCTCAGAGAATCCAAGCAGGGGAGTAAATACAGTGTCTGCTTGAGGGCACCGGAATGGACCCCAAAGCCCCCCTTCCTTGACCTCACCTGCTCCAAGGGACACCCATCTGAGCAGCGTCTATGTGACTATTAGAGGAAGGAAGCGCTCACCCCAGCTGGGCTCCTGAGTAAGGGCCAGGGCTCCGGTGAAACCCGCACCAAGCTCCAGCTCCAGTGGGGCCATCCTGCATGCCTAATCGGCTATTTAAGGAGCTGTTCACCAGCAGCCTGGGCAGCCCCCCCCTCCCCACATACACCCGTCCAGAGCCACCTTAAAAGCAGGAGGCAGTTGTGAAGTGGCTGGCCAGAAAGTGGACTGAAGACTGCAGAGGGAGATAAAGACAGAGGGCAGAGAGAAAGAGAGAGCGAGAGAGGCAGCAGGAGATTTGTCCTGGGGATCCAGAAATCCATGGTACCCTACTGAAAACCGAGTCCCCTAGCAGCCCACAGAGACAGAGACAGCAAGAGAACAAGAGATAAAGACACTCATCGCCAAGAACTCTCCTCTCCTCTCTCCCCTCTCCTCCTCCACCCCAGTCCTCCAATCCCTACATTTCCAGTCCTCTGTGCCCCTTCCTGGGATACCATGTTGTTCTTCGCCCTCCTACTAGAGGTGATTTGGATCCTGGCTACAGATGGGGGTAGGTACACTGGATGTCTGTGTGTCGATTTGTGCTGGCGTCCACATTCCTGTTATGTGTGCTTAATGGGGGGAGGAGAGGTGTAAAAGGAAGCCTAGAGGCTGGAATAATGGGCTCGGGAAAAGAGTGTGGCAGAGACCACTTCCCTGTGTCTCTCTTTACCTTCTCAGCCTTGCTGTTACTGGGGATGGCAAAGAATTAGCCTGAGACAGGGTTTGCACACACCCAAGTGCTGGAATCTCTATGCAAGCTACAGATTTTCGTACAGAGCTCTTTCTCCCATTGCCCCCTGGTCCCATGCAGCCCTCCTGGCCTTCTTTACTTATGAACTGTTCTAATTAGGGAGTCAAGAGGCCTGGAGTGGAAGTCTACATTTCTTGCCCAACTCAGACCCTGGTCTCCAACAGATTCCCTCATGGCTAAGGTCTCCTCTTGATTCTAGACAAACTAACTTTTCAGTTTTCCCCTGAAAGCAGAAGCAATAATGGCCAATATTTGTTTGGTACTTTATAGTTTACAAAGGACTCTCAGGACCTCCCAGGAATTGAGGAATGATTCTTGGGAGAATGGGCTGAAATGTCCAGGAATGTCCCCAGGGACTCCTATATTTCATTTTTATGTTTCCTGTGCCTAGCATAGTAGCCAGCACATAGTAGGCATGTAATTGAAGTCTGCTGGAAGAACAAGGTAAGGGAAGTGTCCAGAGATCAGAGGGGAATGCAGAGAGGGTAAAACGTGGGGGCAGGGGAAGCCAGTGGAAGCAAAATGGAAAATCACAAATCTCATCTGAGGAAAGAGAAAAGAATAAGTAAAAGATGTAGAATCAGTGTGTTGAGGATTTGATGGGAGGGAAAGGGTGCTTTCACAGAACCAGGCAATTCCAGTTGTTAGGGTGTCCTATAAAGCTGTAAACAAGAGGCTGCACCCAGCCCTCCCTTGCCTACTCTTCAGACTTGTCTAAACCAAGGAATGGGCCAGCAGAACAGATCAGGGATGAGTTTCAGGATATCTTAAAAGTCTGAGGAATTTGAGAGGAAGAATTTAGGATTTTTCTCCAGAGTTTCTAGCAATTTGAATATTGCAGCAAAAACCCACACAACCTCCCTGTTCCTTTTTTTTTTTTTTT